CATCCAAAGTGCACACACACAGCAGTGAACACACACACACCGTGAACACACACCCGGAGCAGTGGGAAGCCATTTTTTGCTGCGGCGCCCGGGGAGCAGTTGGGGGTTCGGTACCTTGCTCAAGGGCACCTCAGTTGTGGTATTGAAGGTGCTCTAAAAAGAAACCTGAATTTACGCCGGGTGTGGAGACCATGACACGTTGCGTCCTAGGATCTAGAGGATCCCCTGCCCAGTGGCCAGATTGCTGTCGTCTGGTAGAGTGCATTTTTGTAAAACTCTGTGACATCCATAAAAGTCCAAAAAAACAGGGTAAATATGCACTGACTAGATGGACTCTAATTCTCAGAGACTACAGCAAGATCAGACAGCTGGTCCTGGGTAATGGTGCAGTCATGCAGAGCTCTACTCTGCAGTTGTTTGATGTTAATCAAACAACTCTTATTCAGTGGCACAACAAGCGACTGAAGAGGCAGGAATGTAATATTCTGCTGCAAGGGGTCAACTTGCCTGCCTCCATTCCTGTTGCTCCTTTACCTCTCCCACCAGTACAGGTACGTCCCACTGCTGCACCACCACGGCCTGGCCCTCAACATCACTACCACTTGCCTCAAAGTACGGCAGGACAAGCAGTGGACAAGAGGAAGACTGCAGCTCCGGCCCAACACACCCATTCTCTGCAGTCTGCCTGCCCAAGGTTGCCAGCTCAGAGGCAATTGTTCCCTCAGCAGACATCTCCACCTACCCCTGCCCCTTTGCCTACTGTTTCCAGCCCCAGCCCTGCCAGTGGCCCACTTGTGTATGTGTTTTTGGCCCCACAAGTCAATGCATACAAACGGATTGCTCCTGCTGGCCCCCTTTCCTCCCCACCACCTGCCCGGAGGCCTTACAATCGGAAAGTTGACAAAAATAAATGTAGTCAGTGCCAACAGCCCCGGAACAAAGAAAGTGGCCACAGCCAGTATTATGGGTACATATACTGTCCCCAAAATGCTGGTATTCCACTTGACCAGTGGATGGAGGAGATGCGGAAGAAGAGGGCAGATAAGAAATAGATTGGTTTGAAGCCTGGGAACAACAGTCTGCATAAGGGGGGGAAGAAGGGGGAAGGAGGAAAAATGAGGAAAAAGAGAGAAAAATGTAGAAAAAATGAAGTGAAATGGGAGTTAATATTGACTCTGATTCATACGTATTGTTTGTATGTATGCATGTATGTGTTTTACATTGCTTGAGAAAAAATAACCAATTCATTAATACTTTATATACTTCCATTAATCATTTAAAAATTAAAGGAATTAGAATTAAATTGAGAAATTGAGAAAAAATGAAGTGAAATGGGAGTTAATATTGACTCTGCTGCCCGTCAG